TCGTTTTCCCACGATCTCCAGTTTACCTGAATGGCAAGTTGATGTAAGTCCTCCGACTCTTTAAGAAGTTGAAAAAGCTATAGGAAATCTGAAGCGTGGGAGAGCAGCAGGCCCTGACAGGTTTACCCCTGAGATTTTTATGGATGGCGGTCCAGTATTAGCAGCGAGATTGACTGAGGTCTTAGGTAGAATCTGGGAACTGGACGTAATCCCATCTTACTGGTCTCAATCACTGATTGTGCCAGTCTATAAGAAAGGACAAAAGTCCTCCTGTGACAATCACAGAGGAATTAGTTTGACTAATATAGTGTCTAAAATATTAGCTTCAATAATACTTCGACGTCTAACCAAAGCTCGTGAAGAGCAGACTAGGGAAAACCAGGCTGGTTTTCGACCTGGACGTGGTTGTATTGATCAAATATTCACATTACGTCAGGTCCTAGAACATAGACACACATTCAGATGCTTCACAATGGTAGTATTTCTCGACCTTAAGGCGGGATTTGACTCTGTTGATCGTGAGGTTCTATGGCAATGTTTGTCACTGAAGGGAGTATCAAAGAAGTACGTCAACCTTATAAAGGCTCTCTACTCGAACACAACTGGTCGAGTGAGAGCTTATGGTGAACTGTCATCAGAATTGATTACCTCAAGTGGTGTTCGTCAGGGCTGTCCACTCTCTCCATTCTTGTTTAACTTTGTCGTTGACGTCCTTTTAGAGATGACACTTTCCTCATCTAAATTTCCAGGAGTTGAACTTCTACCGGGAGATCCACTTGTTGACTTAGAATATGCCGATGACATAGTTCTATTTAGTGAAGACGCTGACAGAATGCAAAGTCTGCTGACCACTCTAAGCAACAATGCAAGCCTGTTCGGCATGCGATTTTCTCCCTCGAAATGCAAAATGTTGCTTCAGGATTGGGTTGCGTCGACACCCGAACTAGTGATAGGGAGTGAAGTAGTTGAGCGTGTCGACCGCTTCACTTATCTCGGAAGTCTCATCAACCCTTGCGGTTTGGTATGTGACGAAATCTCAGCACGGATACAAAAGGCTCGACTAGCTTTTGCCAAATTGCGTTATTTGTGGCGTAGGCGAGATATCCGTCTATCAACCAAAGGACGTGTTTACTGCGTAGCAGTTCGTTCTGTCCTACTTTATGGCAGTGAAACATGGCCAGTAAGAGTAGAGGATATTCGTAGGTTACTAGTATTTGACGATAGGTGTCTTCGAAACATCGCTCGTATATCCTGGGACCACCGAGTAAGTAATGCAGTTGTTATGAAACGGGTACTAGGTAAGGATGGCAAATCAATTGATGAAGTAGTGAAACTTAATCAGTTGAGATGGCTGGGACATGTGCTGCGCACGCCCGACCACCGACTGCCCCGACGTGCTATGTTTTATGGTGTAGGAGTAGGTTGGAAGAAAGCTAGGGGCGGCCAGACTAAAACATGGCAGAAATCCATGAAGTCACTGACAAGTGGACTGAGTCATGTTGGTAGGTGTAGACTACCTGGTTGGGGACCGCGAGACGATAGCAACCGATGGTTAGAGACCTTGAATGACATGACTCAAAATCATTTGCAATGGCGCAGGTGCATCCACTCTTTTTGTTCTCTCAAACTCTAATCTTCTGAATTCATGTCCTTTATTTTCTTTCCCAATTTATTCCACTGGACTATACTCCTTTAATAACATCATCAAACCTTCATGTCCCCTATCTCTACTTATACTTTTAGTACCTCTACCACTATGGGATTTGAATCGATAACTGAATCTTTGTGCTAATGTGGTATCGCAACTCGAACTGATGTATGTACGTACGAAGTTCCACGTTGTTACTGACTGACTGACTGACTGTTACTTTGGTGAACGTTTGTGTTTCATACATATTTCTAAATGTTTTAAAAAAATTTGTAGCAGAAAGCACTTTTGATGTTTGATTTTCCAGGAAATCCGTATAGTGAAAGATTGGTTATGAGTTTTAGCTGGTATCTATGACTTCTAGTTATTGGTGAAATGTCTCAGTTATGTACACGGTGAAATTACGGTGTTAAATATTCGATATTTAGTGGGTAAGCAAATAGCATTAATTGATATTACGACCGAATTGACTATAATAATGATAATTTCTAGTATTGAGTAACCATAAAACGTTTATCTTTAGCTGAGAAGCATTTTGAATACCGGCGACTACCAAATTATTTCGCCTTATTGTTAAATATTATGTGTGACAAGTGAAAAAACACAAATGACGTGGTGAATTAACGACTAATGGTATAATTATGTTGCGTATTTATGATACTAACAAGCTTTCAATTCCTTAGTCGATAACCTGGGACGAATGTACCAATCAAATGACCGATTATTCTTCTCGAATCCGGGTATGCTGGTTGGTCTTTTGACTGATTAATCAACTTGATCGATATGATGCATAGGCTAGCACGATTATTCGTGACCACTGACGAGATAAGCTTCACTCTTATTGGCCCATAGATATGAATGTATGCCCTTCGTCTAGACCAGCCTTTAATCTGACAATTAAACACAAGTATTATAATACACTCTGCACTATTCATAACGTTGTTTCGATCTGTTCAAACTATCTGATTGTTTAAAGCTTGCCAGTTGATTATTTAAATGAATTTAATAACTCGCTAAGTCTAAAATTAATTTGCGTAGACAATCGAGATAAAAATATGAGGTGATATTTATAATCACGTTTAGATAGAAGTATTGTCTCTTTGACTCTGTAACCCATAATAAATGAAGCCCATAAGTTCTCTATTTGCAACTAGTTATGCATAATAACGTTCGCTATGTTTGTCGTTATTACTGTTTTTAAACACTATAAATACCCAGCCAGAGTTCTATCTTTGAAAGTATACTTTACCAGAGGTAAACATTTTATTCATATATTGTTGTTTTACGATGAATTAAATAGTTCGCCACAATTTTTCGCGACTCTAGATGTTTATAAAATTGTGGGTTTTCCGGTAGTTGAAGAAACACTTGAATAATCCTCAACAACATAATGTTTTTTCAAACTTTGTTTTGACTACGTTCATTAATTCAGAACAAAATGTTTTATTTCTTGTAAAAAAATAATTTCAAAACATTTTATATTTAAACCCTATTTTAACAAATCAATTAGTTGGATGCATCTCCCTTTGGAAGTTAGGACAACTAAAATCTTTCAAGAATATGAAAATAGAACCATGTTAACTATCACCAATAAATCTGTCTATATAATCCCTGTCAAATATAAATCCAAATATCACTAATTAGTATATTAAATAAATAAGAGATAAGTATTTTAAATATTCAATCATAAATTAAATCATAACTTGATTAAAAGAAGCCTGTTAAACACTGTCTAGTTAGACTTTTGATAATATAATAAATTAAAGCAACAAATCACTCATCTACTTACATTATCAAGAATAAATTTATTGATTTAAACGGTTAGGAGATGAATATTATTTCATGGTTGTAACCAATTGTTATAACTGTTAGGTTGCCCAAGTTTACACCGATGGGATGTTAATTTAACTTAGACGAATATCTACACTAGATTTCCTACCAGTGTCTATTCTACAGGAGTTTAACACAACTCAGATCAAGAACACGTGATCAGCCTGACTAGAACGTAAATGTATTTCCAAACCAAAAACCCAACACAATTCAACAATAATGAACAATCAATAATAAGTAATAATAAGGATAGGGGAATATATAACTCATCTGACACTTTCAAACTATCTACATGTCTGATTAAGCAGACAGTTAATCATTATCATTCTCGCCCACACATCAATGAATCAATTTTAAAAAATATTTATCAATTATATAATTAAAGACGTGATTCGTGAATAAATTAATTAAAAAGTAATAATTTCAATGGTTAAGATCATGAGTCAATTGAAGCTAGACCACCATGGATAACCTGGAAGCATTGGAGGGCCGTCTCATCCTATTGTAAGACTCCTCAGCAGTGCACATCCACTATCCCGCCTCGCGAAATTCAAACCCAGAATCTGCCGGTCTTGAGCGCGAACGCTAAACCTCTAGACCACTAAGCCGGCTTCCAACAGTGTTAATGTAAAATTTCAACTAATCCACAAAATTGGGCGACACATCCACATCAACTGACTCATGATCTCAACCATTGAAATTACTATAATCTCCACAAAACTCCTTTCGATATTAAAAAGTAATACATACATAGATTAATGCAAGTAACTAGTTAACCAACGGTAAGTCACTAAGTATATGATTATAAAAAGCAATTTCATTAGAACTATTTAAAGGATATCACGAATAAAGAAATGGACGGTTGAATAATTTTGTTTTCAGTTAAAGTAAAAATAAGAAAAGAGTGAATAGATGAAGAACCGGACATTTTAATTAGAAGCTTAAGAATCTTTATTGCATGATAAAAAAGTAGTTGTGACAAAATTTTTATGGAGCTTTATTAGGAATTATCTATAACAATTACATAATCCATTTAATTAATGGAAGACTAGATTTGAATTTGTACGAAAGCCTTTGTAATGTAAATTGATCGTCTTATCACATTACTCTCCATCTTTAAAGGTAGATATTTAACTTTTTTGGTTGGCCAAATGTTTCATTTGGCGTGAAATTAATGACTACAACTTATTTCGGAAAAGTAATATGTAGGCTACTTGAATGTATTCATGTAATTCATTTTCGTTGTATAAGCAAATGACTATATCTGGATTTATTAGCTCATTAGATAATTTATTGAGAGTCCGAAATCAAATGTATTTCGTTCAAGTTCTGATGTGAGCACCAACAATGGAATCCAGTTACATGCGATTATACTAAAGTACAGTTTCTAAACCTGTTATTTGGTATACAATTAACAATTGTGGATGTTGACTACAAATGAAAAGATACATTGAACGTAGGATCTTAATACAGATGAACTTAAATCTTGTCCCATATAATTTGTTTTGATTTTGATTGGCAAATTTTACATTTCCAATAAATGATTCTCATTGGTTGATAAATAATTTTATGACAAATAGTAAGACAGTGGGAAGATGACAGACAACTGAGGAACTTAAATGCGTTAAAGTAAAAATATATAGTTGCTCACCTTACTGTTTTTTCCATTTTTATACTCCATTTATGATTACAAGTTATCTGATGGAACTGTGCTTATTTGCATAATAAACATTGAAACAATAAATTTCATATAATCTTACAACTTACTAATATCAAGAAGATACATCATTTTTTCTTTATTTCAAAACTGAAGTTATTCAACAGTTGATTTGCAGTGATATTAGTAAGTATAAAATGTAACATGATACTAATTGGGTATTATTAATAATAACGTAATTGAATATGTTTTCTTTTATTCAAATCAACTCATACTGTATACATGTGGTGTGAATTTAAAGAAGGTTTTAGTATTGTTTATTATTAAACAAACAACATCATATGTCATAAGTTGTTAAATATGTTGGAATGAATATGTTGACCTTCATTACTTCCATAGAAGAATAAGAAGTTTCTTTAACTATATCAAGAGATTGTTATATTTTATGTTAGTCATAGAAGATAGTATGATTAGTTCTGACAAACCTCTTATTGTTTAAAGGATAATCTACATATCATGCATTCCACGTTTCTTTGCCTTGTTTCTCTTAATGTGAATGTATGATAAACAAGTGACTCATAACTATAAGTGCATAAGTGATATTACATTTTTGTACTGAAAATTATGAAACTTTAAAATTCGTTTAAGCTGAATAAATTATTAAATGATTATTAAAATTAAATTATCTTTATTGCTAATTATACTCTGGAAGTAGAAACTGTACAAATCTAAGTGTAAGATAAAGTTCTTTGTCTTGTTTTAATGCCATGAAGTTTTATTCATGACTTCATTCAATTTTTTTAAAATAAAGACAGCATTTCAATGATACAAAGAAATAAATGCTCTCAGGATACAAAATCTAATCATTAAGAACTCATAATGTATTCTCGGTATCAAATATGGAGTTGTATAACAATATATAATATAAAATAAAGTATTGTTGGAGTGTGTTGTTCCTTGTAAACTTTTAAAGATAATTAGATTAGTATGGATGATCTTGTTACACCTGGAACATGCTAACATAGCAAAGGAGGCTACATCTAGAGAAAAATATACATAATTATTTCCGCGGTTATTTCTGCTACATTATTTCCGGGAATTTAACCAATACTAAAAAAATATCAAACCAAAGAATGAATTAAACAATACTCTCTCTAAGAATCAATGCTACTTGACTTTAAAATCAGTGGCACTGATACCTTATTTTGTAAAACCGATCAAATACTCCCCCCCATATTTATGAAGAAAGTTAATATATTGAACAATAATGTATAGAAATCAAGATGGCTTTGTAAATCAATAAAACAAAATAATCACCATTCAGATCCAAAAGTTTGATGTGACGTTTGAATACCCTATTGGCTAATTTATGTAGTTCCAGTAAGGAATTAAATAAAATAATAGCTACTAGGACGGCTGATTGAAAATTCCTTAGAGTTGAAAGTATTTTCTTTATCAGTAAACGAGGTTAGCTAAGTAAATATTGTGTCTCAGCTTGATACTTATCAATAGTGTAAGCAATTAAATCAATGATACTACCTTACGTTTATTACGACACTTTAAGATTACTGAATGGAAATTCTCTTGTATATAGTCAACTGATTACAGTCAACATCATTGTTGAACTACTATCTTACTCTCAATTTTACCAATTCAATATATGATACTTAATATTTCAAGAGCATATTAGTGTAATAACTCAACCGTGTAATAGTTTTACATAACTAAAATTACTTTCATGTAAGCACAAATGATATATCTATTCAGGTTTATATCTAAAAAGACAACTAAGTAATCGTTAATAATATTTAAACCTGAGAATAAAACATTGAGGCAAAATTTAAGCTAATCAATAAGCGAAAATGGAGTACGGAAAATAATAATAAATAAAATCATTTATTAAGACCAAAAGGGGATATAAGGGTGTTACAAATTTTTTTATGAACACAAAGACTTGAATTTTTGGCTCGAATTTCTATAGGTTCTGCTATGTGTAAGAGACGAGATCGAATATCAGACAACTGAACCAAAGAGTTAGTGAATACGTTCTTTCGTGGTTAGGAAAAGATACTGTTAAGTCAATACGCAGCTCGATTCTATCACAATTGATCGATAGCGATCATATAGTAGAAAGAAATAAGTCATTTAAAGTAATTTATCGTATTCCTACAAGTTTACGTTATGGTGTTCAAATCTCAAGCCAACAATACAAGTCTTTGTGTTCATAAGAAATTTGTAACATCCTTATCTCCCCCTTGGTCTTAATAGACGATTTTATTTATTATTATTATTTTCCATACTCTCTCTCCGTTTATTTCTCTTCACTCCCTCCTACTATTTTGTTTTTTTTCTCTCAATTATACGTTTCACGGTCCAATTAACTGAACACTTCTTATTTCGAAATCAATAAGCATCAAGAGTAAATATCTTGAAATTTTTAATTTGCTTTTTTTTTGAAATGATATACTACTACATTCCAGTATGTTTAACAAATTGATACTTAAATAAATAAAACTATTAATTTTTAATGAAACAATTTGATACTCATTAAACTTAAACAAAATATATCTGAACAATGTTATACTACTCATTAAGAATTTAGAAAATAGAATTACATTATTAAATAATGTATAAGGCCTAGATAGTTGGCGTGTTTTAAATACTCTATTATACTCCTAATTTAAAGTAAAAAAGGGGTATTTTAATCACATTGCTTATTTACCTTAGTTTGTTTATTAATCTCAATTATTTGACAATACGTACAATGCAATACATTAGTGTTGTTTACATTTGTTACAATATGAAATGAAAGAATCATATTAGAAGTTAATGTAAAATTTCAAAAAATGACACTCTTATTCTGTTAATCCTTATATATATATATATATATATATATATATATATATATATATATATATATGTATATATATATATATATATTAAATTTAACATTCCTATGGGAGAAAAAAACGCACCATTGAGATCTGCTATTGTTTTCATATATCCAAACATACGATAATGAAGCATAATTATAACAGTTTTGATGACATGTCAATGACCAATGTATAGATGTCATTAATGGTTAATTTCAGGATAGATTAAGTAAAAAACAAATTACTGTTTATTATCAGTATAGGGGTTGTGGAGATTATTGTATTTTTGATTAAGATCATGGACCGATCGATTTTAGACCACCGTTGGAAATCTGAAAGCACTGGACGGCCGTTTCGTTCTATTGCGGGACTCCTCATCAGTGCGCATCCACGATCCCACTCTCAAGATTCGGACCCAGGGCTTTCACTCTCGCGCACGAACACCTAACCTACTGGACCACTGAGCTGGCATCCACGAAATGGGTTGGTTGATGCTAGACACTAACACCATATATTAGAGATAATTTATATACTTGAAAGTTGATAAGATTGAAAAGTTTGAAAATGACTGTTTATAAATAAAATGAATCTTTTTCAAATAGAGATTGATGTTATAAAGAAACACTATTCAGTTTCAACAAAAGTATACTTTGGATAGGTTTTATGAAAGCGTTCAATTAATAATGTTTATTACTTGTTAAAAATTTAATGAACAGGTATTTTGAATGAAAATGTTTTGTCATACAGCTCTTAAAAAGTTGTTTATCAGATTTTTAAGAAAAAAATATTTATTGATTACTGCAGTGTATCTATCTCAGTTATTTTCAGCCTTCTTATTAAAAGAACTTTGAATCACTTCCTAGTTTATAAAACGACTGTTCAAATTATGGGGTTACATGTAACACCTGTTTCTTGAAATATTCATATCTTTAACTTGGTAAAAAAAGTAGTGATAATTGTAAAACTATTGATGCGCTAAAGTTACATTGTAACAGCTGTTATTAGTACTGTATATTACATTCTCCATTCTTCTATGACATGAAATAGTTGTCTGTCGACCTATTTTATTTGATTTTTATGACATCGATAATTCATGGTTTTGAGGAGTGTTTTAGTTTATCTTGAAGTAATATATCACTTCAGTGATATATTACTTCAAGTATATGGAAGCAAATAGTTGCCATAAATTAGATATTTAAGTTCTAAGCTTCGTATCCAGTTAAATAGCTATCAAAAATTCACTTCCGTTTATTTTTGTAAATTGTAAGATATGTACTACCGTAAATTAATAATTGATAATATAAGCTGAGAAATTGGATGTCTTTAGTGTTGATTGCTATGCTAAGCACATATAGCTCATTCTGGCTTCCGGACAAGCTAAATTATGTATTCTTCTTGAGTCACTTTTTGACCGTTTCAATTATTTACTTATCAACCCTGACTGATTTATGTGATTGAATGAGTGTGCATTCCTTATCTTAGTTATCACATGTCTGTAGCTTATTTTTGGTGTGACTATAAATATCGATTCAGGCTTAATTAAATCGAGTTGACTTACTCACCTTTTCCATTTCTCGTCATTTTGTTTTGCTCCGCTTTCCGATCAACGATTTCATGAAATATAGGTATTCACGAATCCATTCTCATATTTAACTTATTTAATTCCGTTATTCACTAACGCGAGTTAAGTCAATAACTAAATGTACGGATTTGCGACATATTTATCTCAATAGCAATTAGAAAAGACCTAACTAGAGTCAGATCTCGGGTTACTAAACCTTTTCATAAGATCAACCATAGATTTTGAATCCATATAGCTAATATTAATTAAACAGCGAATAAATATTATTTCTTTCGAAATTAGCAGTTTTTTAAAATTTCTGAAACTTTAATTTAGATTATACTTTCTGAAGCGAATTGAATCAGTATTAACATTTCTGATATTCATATTGTTGGTTCACCAGATTATTTCAACTCTACACTTCTAGACTCATTGTTAATTATCCAATCCTTTAAATTCTGGTAATTTTGAAAAACTCAGATTGATCAGAATAATGAGTTTATTGTATGAAATCACTAACTAGTTTAGCATAGGAGAGTAGTTCCATATTATTACATAATTAATCAATTTCAAGTTATCTAAGCTTGTATTCAAATTCATTCAAGTGCTAATATATTAAGAGATGCATTAATATTTGGATTTCATATTTAAACTAAAATACTGTGTGAGTAAATCCTAGTTGCTTTAGCTACTAACGAAAAAATCGTATTTGCCTAATTTTGACATATATACTTATTTAAAAGTTGAATTCATGCGTCAATCAAAGCTAGACCACGATGAAAAACCTGGAAGCACTGGATGGCCGTTTCATTCTAGCATGGAACTCCTCAGAAGTGCTCATCCATGGTCCCGCCCCGCGAGATTCGAACCCAGGATCTATCAGTCTTTTATGTTGTTTTGAAAACTACATTCTAACAGATTTGTCTGCATACCTAAAATTTTTGTTGTGAATACCTTAATGATAATTTCTTTAATTACTGAACTATTATGTTTATCTGTTTTGTTTGTAAGGTTCGCTTTTTTCTCATAGAAACGATTTTTATTTTTATCTAAATGCCTTTTTTATGCACGGTATGCGTTTAATACAAAAAATGTAATTTGAAAAATGTACATGTAACCATAGAAACTAGGTTTAAATGTTCACTGAGGTAAAAAAAACACAAAATAACCATAAACAATACAAACTTAGGTCATATGTTTCAGAACATCCTACAATTTTGGAGTGTGTTAATTTCATATTTTTTGCCATCACGAAATAATTAGTGCAAGTTTTAACAAATTAACTAACCACCTTTTCTCAGAAAGAGGTTTGTGGGAATGTTATAGTAATTTTTAGTTGGGTTCATGATTCAATTGAAGCTAGATCATCATGGAAAGCCTGGGAGCACTGCACGACCGTATGGGTCTCCTTAGCAGTGCGCATCCACGATCCCGCCACGAGGGGTTCAAACCCAGGACCTATCGGTCTCGAGCGCGAACACTTAACCTCTAGACCACTGATCTGGCCAACATTCAACGTTGTTAATGTCTAACTACCTTTTCATTTAAAAGTCTAGCTACCCAGCTTTTGATATTTCACTCAGAATTATCTAGTGAAAAATGATTGTTTAATCTTGTATACAAATGATTATTAATTTTTTACTAACAAGATAATCTTCTTATCCGATGAAATAGTCTTTTGAAAATTTCAATCACAATAAAGCACCAATATTTGAACGAAGAATATTTTTTAATAAATTCTTGGTTGGCGACATTTGAGCGATGATAAGGTGACCTCAAGAATACCCACCTATTAACTAGGAACAAATGAGGATTATAAAGCAGTGCGAGGAATTACAATTATGATTTACACTTGATGGTAAGGGTTAGGAATTACATTTAGGATTTTCATCATGAACTGGCATCAGCTAAAATACAAAAAAAAACACTATTCAGCCAAATGGATGGGTGAATTTTGAGCCAAAATCCAAAACCTGTTATCATATATCTGATTGGTTCATCCACAAATTATAATATTGCCAAATTCTCTTTACATTCTACAACTATATCTCTAAATCAATAATCATAAAAAGTAATCAGGTTTATGTCAAGTATATCGTTTACAACTATAGCATGTGAATTCAGGACTGTTTGAAAAATGAAATATCACTGATAATATTGTAATTATTGAACGCCTAATTTTGATTCGCTTATGTTTGTGCATTAAATGAGATTATGTGAATTATAGTCAAAATAAATGTAGATGGCAAAGTATGAAGGAAATAATAGTGCAACTACAGGTCCTATCAAATGTTTCGTAGAAGACCATCTAGTGTATGAAGTGATATGAATTCCAGTGAAATGAAATCCAGTGAATCTTACCTAAATTATTTATAAATTTGAGAGACTACTGCTGACCTAATTAGTTAAAACTAGTTATAGTGCCAGCACAAGTCATCATTCTCAATAATCAAACGGGTTATTAGTTTCCTGCAAAAGTTTGTGAGACTTAAAACCTGAAATCAACAGAAGAAATGACTATTCAAACTAAAGAAAGTATGAGCTGTGTGTATCTAAAAAATATTTTCAAGCTTTTCTACTAGCTAATCCTCAATAAGTCAATCGTCGTCATGATTAGAAAATGATTGAAGTATTTCTCATTCAGTGTAGAAAAGAAATATTGTCATTATTATACGGAATAACCGAGCTTTATTTTTTGTAATGTTTCCTCATTAACATGATTGGTTCCTTTAGGCTGGTTACTATTTGTTACCAAACAATAGCAGTAAAAAACGTTGTTGAGACCACAACTTATTCTTAGTTAGGCAGCCAATGAAAGCCTGGAAGTAATGAACATCTGTTTCACCCCATCATTAGACTCTTCAGCATTGAGCATTAATAAACATGCTACATGGATCTGAACCCAAGACCTTTGGTCTCGCACAAGGAGAACTAATCCTTAATCACTAAGTGTAGATCTAATAGTGTAGACGCTCAACTTCAATCAGTCCTTAGTATTGTCCCACTATCTTCAGTCGCCCTCCGTGGATAACAATCTCTATGACCCCCCTACTGACAGCCATTATGTTCTAACTAGTCACTGGATTTGAGAGAAATTTTCCGAAGGTTTAACAAGAATTCGTGACGAATGGAGTCCAGCGAGAGGTGACCCATTGAAAACAACTAATGATGGTCGCTCATTATTAGGGAATGGCTGCAGTTAGACGTCCACAAATTTGGATCCAGACTCAATAATTTACAGTTATGTCTTCATTTGCGAGACATAAGAGCTTTGGTTCAACCACAAGTAACGAATTGTCGATTTTCATTACTGAAGAGTCCCACGTTGGAATGAAATAACTGTCTATTGCTTCCGAGTTTTCATTGATTGTTTAACTCAAATTAATTTGTGATCTTAGTGAAATTCATCAGTCTCCACAATCTCCCTGTCACTGATGATAAACTCTTGAGGAACATGCCCGTCCTCAGATAAACCTAACCCAGGAAAATGTTTCAATTCTTTATTATATCTTTAATATGTTAATAAATATAATGCAAACATCTCTAAACTGATGAAGAATTAAAGTTATGAAAGTGTTATTGTATTGAAGGTAGACTTGATAAGGATAACCAAATTATTACAAAATTATAGTGTTTTGATAAAATATGAAAACCATGCATTAAATACATTATTTGTACACCTTCCTTTAATTATCCTTTACATGCTCTATAATTCTTTTAATTCAGTTGTTATTACAATTGCCCTCTGTTTTTCTTTTTGTCCTCTACAATCCACGTTTTTCAGTATTCTTTTGTTAGGCTTTCCACTTCTGAATGGTAATACATACAAACTACACCACATTATTACTATCACAATATACACATACCAAACCTAAAACATTATTTATTTCGTAATCCCTGTTATATGCTTGTCATGGCAAAGTTGATAAGTACCTATTTATAGATGTATATATCGTATTATTCTTTGATGTATTAAAAAAAGTCAATTGTAACTCTAATTTTCCACAGCTTATAAATATTAGGAATATTTTGAAATCACTAGATTAGTTCTGTCTATTGGATTACTATAGATACCCAAGGATTTATTATAATAATCAAGCATATGTTTATTTACTAAAGAGACGGTAACGAATGATTATTTACGTTCATTATTATAACCTTGAGATATCGTTATGCAAAGCTATTTCTTTCCTAAATATGCTTTTTTTATTGGTTTTCTTTTTTCAGCACAACGGATTATTTTTAAAAATAACAAAATTTAAATTAATACATGAGTGAACTCAATCTGGAATTGAAAAGACCAGTTGTTATATGTGGTCCATCAGGATGTGGGAAAAGTACTTGTATAAGAATGCTTATCAATAAATATCCAAATTCTTTTCGTTATTGTGTATCCCGTAAGTATTTTAATACAGTTTATTAAATTACTTATAATTTCTGATATTTATGTTAGTTAATCATAGGTATTATTTAATCCATGCTAATTTCAAATAGAAACTCGCTAGAAAGGAAGGAATATTAAACGTCAGTGTTGGACTGGTTCTGAGTAACTAGCTGAACGTCTGAATGATAACTTGATTGAAAAAAATAATATTGTCTTATTATTAAAAGATGAATTATAACAGGAATACCTAAACATTCCGTTTAAATTTATTGTTTTATTGGAAATTACAAATTGACCTAGTTAATATAATAATAAACTTAAAAAGATATATCTGATTCTCTTTCTTTGATATAACACATAATGAGACGATCATATCTAAATGATTAAAGTGTATCAGGTCATTATAAATATATTTATTTCAAGGATTAATCAAACGCATCCTTCTCTAAACACGACCACTATTAACTTGTTTGTCTTTTGTTATTTGAAATTGACCTTATGCAATCACTTTGAAGTTTCACTTACCTATTATGCTCTATGTAACATTCGTATAATTATCGGTAATAATATACAACTATTCTCTATCCTTTCTTTTGATTCAGAAAAATAAATGTTCCACTGAAGTAGAAAACTTCCTTTTTACTCTTCTGTCATTAGATAAAAACACACGTCTTGATTTTTTTACTATGTTTCAACTAATCCGGTTGTTGATGTTCTAAATTAATCTATTTCAAGTGGCATATATATGAATTTTTACTGCACATGAATAATAAAGTAGTGTGCTTATTAAATACTAAAAAAAAAACACGGTTAAATATGGAATTAGAGAAGGTAATCGTTTGTTTGATCAGTTCATTCTTGCTTGTACACTATAAGCTATCTGTTGTTGATTGGAAATTTATGTAACAGAAAAACAGATTTATTAAAAGAGTAAATAAGAATTTCAATAAGAAGTACCAGATATTCAGGAAATCACTTGCTGAATATCATAAGACAGTTTAAAATTAGAATCTAATTAGTATGAGAAAAAGAGGAATTTTATTTAACATAGTTTTGTAGATTAAATATGATTTATCATCCAAACAGTTAAAAATAATAAATTAGTTATCATAGTGAAACTTCTTATTGCCAATGTCTTCATTTATTGATATTCTCAATGTTCAAACATAAAGGGTCATGTTAAATGACATTTCTAAATACTCAGTAATATGAATTTTATCAAATGTTTACATACATTTAGTTGTTAAATCACAGGTTAACTAGTATGTAAACAGTTAAGTTTTCAATTCTCCTTTCTACAAGATGTTTTGTTCAGGTTAAACTCATCTGAAGAGAATGAAAACATTATGATTTTTGATGTAGGATCTTAGATAAAGGTATAAGGCTATCAGCGATAAAATCACCGAAATCGGTGTTAAGTGATTATACTTAAATCCTTGAAACCATCAGTAAACGTATGATGAATTTCAGTGAAATGGAGGCTTTTGATTTTGATTTAGTTTAGTTGTTTACATCATGTCTTTAGTAAACATTTGACATTAGTTAACTTATAAGTACTGATGTATAGAAGTGATTTTATTCATTCGCAGTTTTAGATGCATCGTTCACTGTCACCAATAGTAACGCATAATGAATAGTTGGAATGTGTTATAACATCAATATAAAAATCTAAAAAACTTTTTAAATTTATTTGTGTCAGTACCTCAAAGTATTCATTTGAATATGGCGATGAATTTACTCGGCATACTTTCTTCATTTTACAATTCATAGATCCTTATTTTCCTGAAGTCATATATTGTGATGATTTCAGAGTAAACTTCATATTTAGTTTATCTCTGATAAACAAATCTAGAAGCTGTATCGTGAGTCATTGTGGATTTATTTAAAAAACATTCTAAGCATTGGAACATCTGATTATTCAACATTTAATTACACATTATATCGATGAACTTGAGATTCCATTCTTCTTTATTATCAAAAGATTTGGTTATTTTTGAGTCGGCTAGTGATTATTTATTTATTTTTTGTAAATTTTATTTTAGATACCACTCGGCCCAGACGTCCAGATGAAATTCATACAAGAGGTGAATGCCTTTTAATTACCATAATAGTCATATGATGTTTTAAATTAAATTGAATTTGTTTGTCTTTTTGAATAAAGTTTATGACATAAAAGTATTCAACTAATTAAATTCAGTACACATGAAATAAACAAGCAGATAGTTACATGTTACTGTTTTTGTTAGCAAATTAATGTTCGTGATAAACTAATGACATTCTTTTATTGTTGTTTACTTACCAGTGAATTATACTGGCGTAAAAAAAATCACATTTAAGGAATGTTGTTTTATTTTCATGGATATCGACTGATTGTATGGTAGAATAATAAGTATTGATTAATAACAGTTCTAAGTTCTCAAAACCAGGTAACAGATTTAATGGCAAACAAGTGAATATCAACATTTCATACTGGATGTTAAGGTAATCTCAAGTTTTTACTTCCTGTAAAAAGTGTTAGTTCTTTGTTGTGATGATAATCACAAGTTCCGGAGTGAACATCAAGTCTAGGATACAGGTACATCCGGCTGACGAGTCCTGGATTCTACTGCTAGCCACCATCCATTTTTACTTATAACCACAAGAACAGCTCTTTTGATTTGCGTTTTTGCATCGATTGCTTTATGGTCAAGGGTCATGTTTGGTTAACATATATGGAGAGTTGTTTCATATCAATTTCTGTTTGTTAAGTATCACGTTTCCTTCTGTACTGCGATATTTTTTTAAAATCTATCGTGAGGGATTATTACTGAATAGTTGTGTGTGTCAATTGTCTCCTTTTTGAGTTCGAAATTTATCCAGTTAGTGATAGAATCGTCTTAACTGTTCGTAAATAGTAAATGATACAGGCTAAACAAAACATTTCATTCTAACAAGAAAGCTGTAGAATACATCGAAAACATTTTCTTTTCAGGATAGGTAGTATATAATTCATGACTTATTTCTTATAAATTATGATCGCTTATCGATTCGAATGGGGAATTCAATTTTTTAAATTAAGTTTTATGCTGTGTAACTTCAGAAAGTGCTAGACTTTTTCAAAACTGTTAAATATTTGTATTTCTATAGGTTAGTGTATTTTAGTAAGTAGTTTAGAAAAATTTGCCAAGTTTAAAGAAAGATTTCACCAAAATCTGACATCAGCCATTATAAAAGAAAGATTTGCCATCATTTAACAATTACTATGTTATAAATCAAAGTGCACTCGGAAGATAATAGATGGGATATTTCTTTTAAATAAAATATTATTTTTTGTTTGTATCAAGTTTGTATTCTCTGACCTGAAAGTTAATCATCCCAGAACCGATGTGTTTAATCAAAGAGAAAGTTTAATAAGTTTCTAATTCGTTTGTTTCCTGTTTTCCTAAGTATGAATGTAGACCGGTTTATTTAAAGTCAGTGACTTAAGTATGTAAACAGTGCATGTGTAAAATCGAAATTTTTTCAAGATGTTACCATTTCAGTAGCGTAACAAGGAAACACTGAGTTCTAAAAATATTGAAATATTCCTTTACTCTTAGTAGTAGAAACCTTTTATAGTATAAATTTGACATTGTAGTTGAATAATACTCTTATTTTTATTTGGCGAAATATATGGGATGCAGAAACCGTATCATATGAGTTTCCAGTCAAATGCTTGATAACTTTGTAGTTAACATTATGGTTAGTTAAACATGTGAAAACAAGGTTCTATTGTTGGACTCTCTAGCTACGTGAATCTGTGAACCCACTGGAGTTCGGACCGCGAGAGTCTCATGTTTAGACTACTAAGGTGGCATTTATTGATTTGCATATCTAAAGTAAATTATTTAATATTACTGAGTAACAATCTGCTTGATTTTCAATCATAAAATAACCATCTTCACGAATTCCTGTAAATAATACCTCGTCATTCTCTTCCTAAAAATGGAGAGTAAAGCTGTAAAAGTAAGAAGAAAGAATTTACTATATTGATTTCTTTATCTATCTAGTAAAGTTATAATTCATAATGAACTAAAAACTATCTAAAGAGATATTACAACGCGATACAACGTCAAATATATTTCATATAACGTCAAAAAGTCAGACAATTATTTATCGAAGTTTCTATATCACAAACTGATCTTAGCTAAGACACTAATGGAAAGTTGAAAGCATTGAACTTATGTTTCTCCTTAATATAAGATTCCTCAAATGTGCACATCCATTGTTTGTCACTTGAAATTTCTGAAGCAGTAGCTTTTGATTTTTATATTTGTTACTTGATTTTACCAATTAACCTCGGTCAAAATTGTTTGTATTCGACTATTTATTATAGTTAGGTTAGTAAAACACACAAAAACATTATTTGTAAAAATCTAAAACAACAGCATTTTCATTGATCAAACTTAGCAGCAGACCAAGTCGTTTTATCAAGAATAAGAACCCAATGACAAATTTCACTAATTCATTTGTATGAACCTTACTTGTGGAGATTTTTTATAACTTCATGTTTTTCTGTTAAGTGAAAATCCTTTTATCATCCATTTTTATGCAATACCACTATTTATCAATCTTTTAGACAGATACTATCTTTCAGCTTAGTCACATATCATTCTACCTAAAGTAATCTTTCGTAGTTGATTTTAAGTGTTATGTGAAGTATACTGATAATATCAAACAATAATTCATGTAAATAGGAAAAGGATTTAGAAACCAAGGTCACCAATAATGGAAATATTTTTTTATAAACGAAAGCATGATAATTATGCTATCGAAACACTTAGATTCAACGTTTACAGACTGATTTTTGAATAGATTTTAGAAAATAAGTCTACGTAGACAGTGGATTATTAAACTATTCAAATGTTTTTATTACAAGAGAAAATAAGTTGTCTAGGATACAATTTGACATTTCATACTGGAAAATGTATAATTTTACTACACAAAAAAAAACGACCAGATAAAATATGACTGAGCCAACCAGTAAAACATTTAACTTTATTCAAAATGAAACATTGTCAAAATTCATCACTTAAAGCCTAGTCATTTTATTAAATTATATTTGTCAAGGGAAAACTTTTAGTTAACAACAAAATGACAAATTATGGGGTTGTAAAACAAAATGACGACAAAAAAGATAGACGTGCAGAAAAAACAAATACCCCCCCTGGTTTTTAAAACTTTATTCTAACTTGTTACGTATACTAAATAATAGGTAGTTTGTTTGATGTTCTCTTTTTTTTGAAAAACCTATTTCAAACAAAAAATCAATCCGAGTATTTTTATGAATATAAGTTTTTGTTAACAATTATCGATCTTTAATAAATGATAGGATAAGAATCAAAGAAAAAAGTGATATAAACTATTGTTTGATTAAAAGTATACACTTTTTATCTTTGAAAGATCTTTGAAGAGGCGGTAGGTATGAAGAAGATTCTTATTGGCACCTTTTTTTCAGTAGGGTTATAAATATCTAACTAATCTCTTACTATTGACTTATTAGAAAGACATTATTTTGATCAAACATAATTCATTTCTAAGCTGAAAATTTAATTATATTTTAAATACTTTAATGTAGCTATCAGGAATCCCTTCTACAGAAGTTCATTTCAATGTTTCAAGGTACTCTAAGGCATAATAAGATACAGTTATTTCACATTAATTTGCTTTAGTCGTTATCTTCGTTATACTAAAACTCATAATATGAAGTAATTGTGTTACAGTGAATTGATTAGGCGATTTTGACATAATGCGGCAACGAAGTTTATTAAGTTAGCTTAACATGATATGAAAACAATGGTTTCACAATAGAATCTTATTAGTACAGGGAATTTTTGGAGATTATAGAATTTAAACAGTTTTAATCATCACCTGATTAAGCTAAACCCCTACTGAGAACTCAATGGCCCAGAGACTAGGCGTTTAGGTGTGAGACCCATGATCTTGAGTCCGATTCCCAGGTACGGGGTCATAAATGAGCATTGGGAAGGAATCTCATATTAAGGCGAAATGATGGTCTAGTAATTTGACGTTTTTAATGGTGGTTGAGCTAAGGTCATTTCGTGATTTGAACTGTGAAAATAATGTATTACTTTATAATAAGTAGCGAAAATGTTGTTCAAACGTCGACATCCACTGACAAGCGTTTTGAGTGAAAATATATAAAATAAAGTAGTATATTAAATTTTTCTTGCAGATTATAACTTTGTGTCTAAAGAAGAATTTGACGAAGCAATCAACAAAGACGAATTTATTGAATACGTAATGTTTTCTGGACATTATTATGGGACGAGGTAAGAACTTACAAAGCATACTTATTTAGATCATTAAAAATTGTTGCTTATGTATTGATTCATTCATTCCACATGTAAATGGATGCTCCAGATTGTTTTTAAAAATGGTGACAGCAATGTACGAATACTGCCTTTCTTGATAAACTTAGTAATAGTAATTGAAGTTATGTTTAAGGGTATTTTGAATACTCCAAATCAAAATGTTTTGTCATTGGCTAGTAGCTGATAACTAATCTGAAAAGTTTGTGTGGATAATAAAGTTTAATGTGATGGGATTATTATATATACCTTTAGGAAACCCTTTCATAATATACATAGGTCAACAGACACTGAATAGTTTCAGTCACTAACATCAATAATTGGAAAAAACTAACCCTTTCAACTAGCATTTTAGTAAAGCTTACTGTAAATATTACAGATACATGTTGAGGCCTACTGATGTAGAGACTGCTGCAACACTAGTTGTCTTGACCTGAATTTATTGGTGTGTATGGGATAGAAGAGCTAGGTCATCTGTTAAGTCCAGATCGTCTAATTGATTCCGAACTGTCAATTGTCTTCCGTGCTTGCCATCAGATGTGGAGGTCTTCATAATTCAATCAACCACCAGAAAAAAGAGAAATGGGATAAGAAAGCGGCCTTGTCTGACGATTTCACACTGCAAGCAACTTAATTTACTAGATGAAGAACCAACTTGTGGGGACCATTCTTTTGAAACGTTCCGTCTGGTCATTGATATACAATTGATGAATTTGTTCTTCATAAAAAGACTGAGTATCAATTGGAGGTGTTTATGGATTATAAGAAGGTAGAATCTCTCTTTAGTTCAACAATCGTGGAGGAACATAAAAGTTTCGAAACAATTTCAATATGTTTTATCGCCAAACTAAGTCATATCTTATGCTCTAGATATCTAAATATTATTTCTTGAAACCAGTTGTACCATTTCGTCATTTTCAGTAATCCTCTGTATTTAATAATTTCTCAAACCTTCCAAACCTAAAGATCATTGTCAGTGAAAGCCCTCTTTACATCTACAATTTATCAATTAGATCATAACAAATGTTGAATTTGATGAAATAAATCAAAGAGATAGTGTGATTTGTAGCTTAGTATGATAAGTAAATTATCTTTCCTTATGAAGAGGAATTAAGTGATTGATGAAATGCTTACTTTTCCATTAGAACGTAATTTTTTGTGTAACTTATGGGATTTCAGTTATTCACAGTAAAATATTCAGTTACATTTTAACTAACAACACTAAAGATGATATAACAAAAGTCTGTAAACAAAAAAAGTCATTCGCTTAGGTTTCATATGTTGGATATGAAATGTATACAATATACAGTTTAATATTGATTGGTATCGCATTTATTTTCTTGACGCCAACTTATTCACAGTATAGATCCTCCCACTATAAAAAGAAGTAAATCAAGTCAATAAGCAATTTTTAACTGTTACGCTAAAGGGATCAAGAAATATTATGATTTTTTAACCTAAAATTTATGTTTCGACGAGTACTTAAAAAGTTCGGGAAGTTACTTCAGTAAGCTAGATTTCGTATATGCAACTTATTAATGAAATATTTTAGGAATTTATTTAGGATAAAATACGTTTGTAATGTCGTTTTTACCATTTGTATTATGTTACAGTTTCTGGTTTATATTATTATTATCTTTGCTAAAAGGACCCACATATTATGTCTGTTAGTCGTACTAAATGGAGTGATCAATGTAAAACAATTGATATTCTTCGGTTAGTGTTCTTTTTAGCTTCGTTCTTTTCATTAAGTTTGGATTGTTAAACCTAAGTTCAATTCTTCTACGTTACCTAGGTTTTAGACCTGCCGTAACTCTAGAGATGCTTCAGGTACAGTTGAATGAGAACTAAGACTAAATAATTTAACGAAATAAACTAAACAGTAAGGTTTCATTATTGTCATAGTGATTTGTGCGTTTATATGTTTATATTAGGACTACTGTTATGCAAATCATTTATTTGTTTATTTTAAATATTCTTAAAATCAGTAAAACTGAATTGAAAAAAGCTGAATTGGAGAAACGTGTCTGTTTAATGGATGTCGATATACAAGGTGTTGAGAAGTTACAGAAAACAAATATTAATCCAGTTTGTATTTTTATACGTCCTAGAAGTTTTGCTATACTTGTAAGTTGAATGTTAATGTCACAATGACAGTTACAATATACTGTTAAGTTATTGTTAAGTCGGCTTCCGAGAACTATAACGGAGCCTCCAGAGGCCCTAAAGGAGCCGAAGAGTTCGAGCCAATCAGAGAATGAGAGAGCTTTCTATGCTACTATTGGTCAGTAGCATAATATGTCCCTTAGATGATTGGCCAAAATATAATGCTGATTTGACAATTGCTAATAATCTATAAATACCCGTGTTTTTCTGTACAAAAATGAACCTTTAGGGTAAAGTGCTTTTCACTTATTTTGCGTCTTTTCTCTCATGTTCAGGTTGCTGCATAGTCCTATCTTGCGAGATACCAGAATAGCTTAAGAACCGAATAAAGCGTTCAAATTAACAAGACTTATCAGTTATAAGCTGAATAAAATCTAAATATACTAAATGTATTAAGGGATAGTCTGTTGACGACATTTTATACTTTGCTACAAGGTTAATTTCCTAATATATAACTTATTTAAAACGTCAACTAATTTTTTTAATCACTAATGTTCCTATCACAGCTTCAGATGTTTTCATAAGAATCAATAGTATCAATCTTTAATATTTGGAAAAATGTCATATTTCTTTTATTTTTAAACAATGTGAAGAGTGTAACAGAAGTCATCAATCGAATTGGAAGATCATTGAATATCACTGGATGCAAATCTAATTCTGTGAAGGTTTAATTCTCTCATAAGATATGAAGGTTCTATATTTAATTCTTCATCGTATCATAAACAGATATTACTAATGGATTAGAATGAAACAGATGTCCAGTGTTCCGTAGCTTTGCATGATATTCCATTCACAGACAAATACTTTGTCATAAATTTGATTAGTTATTAAATAATCAACCTACTAATCATCAGTTTCTATTAAAAATTGAAAATCATATTTATTTATATTCTTGTGTTTTCGTTAAACATTTTTAAAATTTACCTTGATATGACTAAAAAGTGGTTGTACTTTATCCTGAAATTGGTCTACTATTAGGTTTCACATTTACTTACGTTTCTGGAATCACTGAATATTGATAAACCCATGTACAGAGTACAAGGTTAAAAAGGTAGACAGAAACTTTGATATGCCATACAGTTTCTGATTTGCTACCAGTATATATATTTGCAAGCATTTAACGATATAAATATTTGTATTTCAGTCATTTGGTAGAACGGGTTCCATAGGAAGCCATGGGAAAAAGGATTGACTCTAGTTCACATTTGTCATCAAAGCTTAGTAGCAGTCATGAAAGAGAAGATGACTTTCACGAGAATCAAATTTACTTCATGCAGTGTCATAGATAGGGATCTTACTGATGGACTATCCGGACTGTAGCTGTGTGTGTATGTAAGATAGTTATCTACCACAAACAATGGATGAAGTTTGATGATCATTGAGAATCGATTTAATGTAAAGAAAAATAATAACATTAAATACCAATCCAATGCTCTAGATGTTAAGCGTTGGCGAGAGAGACTGAATGTCTTAGGTTCAACTATTGCGTGCAGGGCCGTGTACGTGCACTTAAAATGTTTCCAATGGTGATTTAGCTAAATTCAATTCGTGATATAAACTTTAGAAAAGAAATGGTTTAAAAAAAACACTGACAGTTCGAATAATACGAACCCCATCAAGGAATGCTGATTGACGCATGAAATATAAAGGTATACATTATTTTTGGCATAACGTTCATGATAATTGACATTGATTATTACTATTTTTTGGCGTACTTATCAGTAGAAACTAATCTTATTTGTTATATCTTTTCATTTGTTAGGAGAAACGATTAAGATCTCGTTCTACCGAAAGTGAAGATAGAATTCTTCAACGTCTTGCAGTTGCACATCAGGAAATGCAGTACGGTGGGTAATTAGTATATAAATTTTCAAGGTTTTAAATTAATTATGCAAAATTTCCACTTCTAAAATATTCATATTCAGAAAATGTCACCTAATATGTCAATTTACCGAAATTTAACGAAATCATATGATGAGAATATTATTTCACGCTCGATTTCAAACTTCACGATAATATATAAATTTTAAAATGAATTTTATATTTCCAACTTTCTGGCTACTGATTTAATAGTAGTGTTAAATGCATATTTTGAAGTAACACACGGAACAAATATTTTTATTCTAAAATTTTGATCTTTAAAAGATAGAATGATATAAATATCGGCTTGTAAATGATACTAATCAAACTTTATTATACAAACTCGATACAAGTGTATCACTACTTCGTCAAATATAGACAGAAAACTAAATATAGGTTACATAAGGGCTTGTGAATAGTTCATTGAATAGTAAACATTCTAATATTAATATTTTGCCAAAGTAACAATTGTCCCATCCTATATACCATAAAGTTCGATCATGTTGCGCCTTAGACAGATATCATCGGTGGCAGCGTATTGTTATTTGGTACTATCACTAACCGATTAAAATTTAAAATGTAAAACATTGAATATTAACTTGTTGGTTTGAGTGTTAAAACTTCCTCAGTACACCTGAAGCCCATGTATTCGAATTCTAGTGTGCCTATGAATACGGACTGTTTGGAATCACCATACAGGAATGAGGCAACTGTCCGGTTCTTTTCGATTTTCTGTGGTTGTCTAACTTATATCAGTCCATAATGTAGGGCTGCAAATTCATTAATTTCACAACACCTTAATATTATCAGCATGGAGTGGTGGAGATTATTATATTTTTTAATTAAGATCATTAACCGATTGGTGTTAGGCCTCTTTTGAAGACCTGGAAGCACTGGACGGCCTTTTCGTCCTATTGTGGGACTCCTCATTAGTGCGCATCCATGATCCCGCCTCGTGAGATTCAAACCCAGGATTTATCAGTCTCGCGTGCGAACGCTTAACCTCTAGACCACTGAGCCAGCCTCAACCTCAACCAATCCACGAAATCGCGTTCGCACGCGAGACCGATATGTCCTTAGTTCGAGTCTTGCTAGGCGGGATCGTGGATGCACACTACCGAGAAGCCCCACAATAGGACGAAACAGCCATCAAGTGCTTCTAGGTCTTCAAAGATGGTCTAACATTAATCGCTTTATGATCTCAATTAAAAAAACCTTTGTATTAACAAATAATTCATCATGTAATCCTTTGCCCTCATCTATACTTCATTCCTAGCTTCCTTTGATGAAACAGGTCTATTACATAGTATATTCTTCATTTAGACTGTATAACAACAACTTATAATTTAATTATCATGATAAAAATCTCTATTTTTCATTGCATTCACATGACCGTTATTGGAATACTTTGAGCTTATAAGCTAATAACAATATGTATTTTAACTGTAAAATTAACAAATGTGAATGCATCCATTACTTTTTGCCTGTATGACCTTAAGGATTTATTCTATTATCACTTGGATAATATTTGCTTAAGATATTTCATTTATTAGTGCTGATAAGACTATAGAATAAGTGTTTAATGACTAATGGAAGCTAATACTGATAATGGATACAAAAAAACAAAGTCATTATAATTTTCTGATTATAATATGTATATAAGATAAAGGACAAACTCATGTTATGCAGATAAGAAAACGGATAGAAATTTTGACTAAAGATGTTAATTATAATAACAATTATTAAAGTAAAAGAATATGTTTATAATGAAGATTATATTTCGCTAATTCATTGTGAAGAGGATGAATATAAAAAAAATGTTAGTTTAACTCAGTATGAAGTAAAGTTTATGGTCGGAAATAATGATCATATCAATAATTAGATTTCACTAGACAAAGAAACAGTCAAGTCTGTTAAAAATTTTTAGTTCACCAGTTGATCACAGTATGATAACTATATAAATATCAATACTGAATAACATTTACTGAGATTTATTCACGTCGTTTAGGTGTTTTTTTTAAAAGCATGGGAGAAGCAACACCTTTCAGGTTTTTGGTTCATACAACCTAATTATTTAATTTCGGTAGATTCTAATCCCTGTCGACCTCTTATCATTTAAAGTTCCATCTTTCAGATTTCACATTCATTTAATAATATCTGTGTTTACAACTCAATGATTTATTTATAATTGTTAATTATACTTCACAATAGGTTTCATATAAACATAGTTCGCTTTTATATACAAAATAATCCTTATCAAAATATTGAAGGTTAATAAAACGTGCAATTAATAATGTTAAACTATAGTACTTCACTGTATGTAAGACAAGAACCGATAGAAGTCTGTTTGAATCAATAATAACAGAATGTAGTGTAATTTGACACATCCGTTGAAAGAAAGATTTTCTGTTAATGTTGAAACTAAACAGTAGTATTTCAATAAATTTTCATATGCTCCGGAAGTTAAATTCTATCGGTAAACTTATTGATGAGTAAATAGTGAGAACATTATATGTAGTAAAATGTTGATGAATAGCAAATATGATTATTAATTAAATTGTTGTATGTAATTTACTGTGATATGGTAGTTAGAGTTTATGCAATATCGGTAACGAACTAGTGGCAATATCAAATTTCAAATGACCAGGGTAAACATTTGTGGTGAATATTGTTCAGAAGCTAATCTGTAACCCTATTTCAATAAACTAATGAAAATCAACCATTTATATTATTTCGTTTACACTAAGTTTTGATTTTAAAAATAGAGGATAGTAATAGGTAGTCTATTTAGTTTATATATTTCACACAAAATAGTTATCTAACGACATATTTATTATATATACTCGTCACTAATATACTGTTATGATGATTTCCTTCAACTGAAATACACAATAATTTTCACATTCTTCTTACTTAGCTTTGAATTTTAAATGCATTATAAGAATATTGTAATAGAGAAAAAAAGATCACTTGAAAATCACTAATAAATAATCATGTAACTTAGATCCAAGTACTACTAACTTTCATGAAGTTATCAAACTTTATTGCTATTTATAAGCCAATATTTTCTAGTGATCCGAGATTTAACTCCGATTGGATCGTATGAACGATCGTTGTCGAAATATATATGTCGCCTATCCTCATATATAATCATGGACATAAATCGCGTTAGTCAGTAACGAAATTAAATAAGTGAAATAACTGGAATGGACTTTTGGATATATATTTTTTGTATGTGAAGCGAATGGAATAGAACGAAGCAAAACGACGCGCAGTGGAGATGGCGGGTAAGCCAACTCTCCTTTAGTCAAGCGGTAATCAATATTTATAGTCACATAAAAATACGTTACAGAATATTATGAATAGGATCAGAAATGAACACACATGCGCTTATATAAAAACAGTCAAGGTTGATAAGTTAATAATTGACAAGGTCAGAATGTGATTCAACTAGAGTGAATAGATTGACTTGTCCGAAAGCTAGAACAAGGTATATGTGCTTAACATAATAACCGACACTACAATTTGTATACAGATTTAATGATTTAGTAAAACAAAGAACTCTATAGCAAATATCATATTTTATTTGATCGAATGAACAGGGAAACAATTTAAGAGATAGACGGATTATATTAAATGAACAGTAGAAACGTGTCATATGTCAAATTCACCAGTTACGTTTTGAAGATACAATGAGACACAATATACCATTTTCTTAATAGATAATAATCTACGATAAATTATATACGGGGACATAGAAGGAAACGTATCTCTTTATTTATTTTTCTTAACAAAAAAATTATTTGAATAATCTTGAAAATAACAATTCTTGTTAGTTTATCTAATCCTTTTTAATGTGATCTCCTATACTTATGTTCTTAAGATATTGATCCTTCAAAAAAATATGGATTTCAAAATACGTATCTTACATTCTATCTGAATTGTCTGTTTGTTAGTTGTTTTCGTCAGTTTTTACTTCGTTATTTAATTCTTGGAAAAAATATTATTAGATAACAAAAATATAAGTCATATGCTCACTAATGACTGGTTTCAAGAGGTGTTTTTGTTGAGTTCTAATGAGAAGCAGTGATCAGTGGAGTTCAACCGGGTCTGTTGTGTGATAGTAACTCACTGAAAACAATGATGGATGTGTTGCTCGATTTCGTGGATTAGTTGAAGTTAGACGTTAACACCGTTAAATGTCGGCCAGATCAGTGTTGTAGTAGTTAAGCGCTCCCTCGCAAAACTGATAGGTCCTGGGTTCGAATCTCGCGAGGCGAGATCGTGAGAGCGCACTGATGAGAAGTCCCATACTAGGACGAGACGGCCGCCGTTTGCTTCCATGTTTTCCATGATGGTCTAACTTCAATCGACTCATGATCTCAGCTATTGAATTTCATATAGTAATGCTTTATTCTATATTTTGATATTCGAAGATTTGATTTGTTGTGCTATGAGTGTCATTTAAAAACAGTTCATTACAATGTTTGTTTGAATTTATATAGGAATATCTGAAGGGAAATTTGATGCTGTTATTGTCAATGATAATGCTGATAAAATGGTGCAAGAGGTTATTGATGTGATACAACAAGTGAGTTAGATATTTCTTATAATTTACTCTACTAAAATCCGACAAATTTATTGGTTTATCAATTAAACGATACCACTAATTGCTTATTGAATAAAACATTGTTGGTTGCGTTGTAAATAACTGTACACATAGAAAGCATATTAAATAAACTGTTGCAATGGAATGAAGTGGTAAAACGTGTACGCAAATATATTAAAATAAAAACTAAACATGTAGCGTACGAGAACACAGGTGGGGACAACCGAATGTATTTTAATACAACAATACAGAATATCTTGGAAAAACCTGAGAACCATGCAGTAAATACTTCGTTCACGTAATATCCGTCAATTGTTTCAGAGTTTGTTGTTCTTTCGTGTCCGCACCAATCATTCTCCGTTCTCGTTCTCCTCTCCTCGATTTTCTCAACCTTTCGCCTCTAGACGTTCCACTTTTGATCGATGATACGTACTACTTATATCTGTTAACATCAGTAGTACATACTACAATGTGATTTCACAAACTGTGTTATAAATTAATTCTTCTGTGAGCTTGAAAATATAAGTTATCATGTCAAAATATTCCAAAAGAATTGTTTATTGTCGTCCATTAAACTGTAGTTTAACTTGGATTCTAAATCCAATCAATTCTAATTACATTATTATATTCTTTGCAGATGTATAAATATTATTAAGCGGGGTTTTCTATTTACAGTGATGATTACGCTTGTTTTCAATAATTTTGAAATATGAACTGTTAGACTATTATTGAAAGTCTGGAAGTACTCGATACATATTTTGTATTAGTATCTGACTTTAGCAGTGAGCACCTACGGTTCCGACCCAGGACCCTTGGTCTTGAACGCTTGACCTCTAGACCACAGGGTAAGCATATAACGGTGCTGATGTCTTATTTCACACAATTCATGATATTGCGCGATCATTTTTCATTGTCTCCAGCGATTAACTGCTACACACCTGACTAGGTTGAACTTTATTGGTCCCGATTCCTCACTAGAACTCCGAGACTTATCTGTCAAATTTAGGCAATAGCGAGTACATGCATAAAAGAAATTGAACGATCTCCATATCCCCAAAGTAAAAAGTTTGAAATAATATAAATAACTATATGGAATATCACCAAGTGTTATGTTCCAAAAAATGGATACTCATAGATTTTGTATAGTTAACAAATATGTTCCAGTAAATTCAATTATTTGTCATTCATTGGTTACCAGTTGAGTATTTGTCAAATTAGGTTGTAACACCAAGTTACTCCAAGTATATATCAGTATGCATATCAAGAAAAATTATGGGTGTATTTTGGAAATTACTTTATTTTTCCAAGAATAAATGTCGGGTAATTTTTAAAATCATAATAAAAAAATCCACTTTCATGTTTCTACCTCACAAATAGGATAATATATAAATTAGTTTCTGCTGAACCTGTGAATGTAAGTTACAACCCCAAATAATTTAGTAGTAACATCTCCGAATATAAAAGTTAACGATTCTCTTTTTTTTATCTCACTGGAAGAATCAATTCTGTCCAAACTACAAATACATCTTTTTAAAAAATAGAAAACTAGCTTGAAACTTACATTACGAGTTTTCCATCGATTGCATACAATCATATTTAATATTTGAATGCAAACACTAACTGTTTAATAAATGGTATCTAAATAATATTACAGTTTTGCAACTACCTCAAATCAAACTAAAATATTAAATACTCTTAATAAGTTACCAAAAATAGTTACCAACAAGGTTACAACAAATCTCTCAATGTGTACAATGATGAACAATTATGAAATGATGTAGGAAGGGGGGCGGTAATAAATAGAATGGAATTATCAGTGATATTCTGTTATCGATTTCATTTAATTTACTATTTTTTTTTAAAAAAAACACACCCCTTCTAAAATAAAACCATTAATGTCTAGAAAATTCACTGATCCACTAACAAAGTTTATGATCTACTATCATTTTTTAATTTAGGATTTTTCATTGGAAAAATATAAAAATTTCTAGTTTATTTTTACTGGTTAATAAATAATTTATATGGGATTTATCAAAAATAAAACAAAACAAAACAAAAGTGATTTATTCATTGCTTTCTTCAAAATAAGCATTATCAATCAATAATCAAATACAATGTTATACCTTATGATTAAGTAGGACACAAAAACGCTATCACTCAATCAGAAACAATATGTTACATTATTGATTTGCTTCATAGTAGTAAAAAAGAAAATAAGAGAATTAATTGAATCGCTATTTGATAAAAAGCGTAAGGTGTAGTAAACACTACGTATTTTTTTTTGTTCATACAATTTCAAATATTCATCATTACCAGAGTTAAGAAATTGATTACCTTATTATTCTCTCATATTCTTTCTCAGAAATTTATATGAATGAATAAGCGAGATGACCAAAAGAAAATAATATAATTACTAGATACTTTTAAAAGCATAAAATCTATTTATTATTGGCTAGAATTTATTTGATATTAACCAAACATTGACGAAATAATCATAATATTGATAGTTAGTGTTGAAACTTTATGAAAATGATTAACTAATATCAATTACAATTCACCTCAATATGAACCTATTTATATTAGTGGATAAATTGAAACATGAATAATAGAATTCGATTATTAATAAGAACTAGAGGATAATGATATTTACTACACTAGTCAGTTATTATTAAATATGCTGTAATTTTATTTATTTATTTGTTTATTTATTTATTTCAAAGAATGACCTTAATTTGTATTTTTTCTTCTTTCGTTCATTCATATTCAGAAATTGAGTATTTAATGGATTAAATACTATTGATAATATATTTCATATTTTATCAAACTGTCTTGAAGAGATCAAGAGAGAGAGAGTTTATTCTGACTATCTCGTTTGAATTATATCATGTTAAAAAAATAATAGACTATTTAATTTATTTACCCTGTGATGTATTTTTATGAATAAAAATGCCGTTATTTCATAATAATCCAACTTTTTACAATCAACATATATTTTTTCCTAAAAGTCCACAGAGTAAATAATCAAACTGTTCAAAATTTAGCGCTTAAATTGGCATATGACAACAGTATATTCAAATATTAGATTCGTCTAAGCAAACATGGATAATGGCTAGCGGTGGAATCCTATTTGGGACTTGTCAGCTAGATGTACCAGCATTGTTTACTCTGACACTAGAACTTAGTACCGTTTGCTTCAAACGCCATCACGTTATCTACTTAGCTATTGAGTCCTGTTAGTCACTTGCCTGTACAATTGGGTGAAGTTTAAATTCACTTGGTATTATTTACTTGAATCTTCTCATTGGTGTTTAGGGCTGCAATTGATCAGTATCTTACTTGCATATGTGCATGCTATTAGTATTGCCTCGATATTGCCTTAATTTATAAGTCACTATCCGTCTTTGCTTATAATGCTTGTGAATTAAGGCAATACGCATAGTATTCACATATGCAAATAAGATACTGAACAATTGCAGTTCTAAACGTCAATGGGAAGATTCAATTAAACAATACCAAGTAAATTAGATTTGTCTAGTTGTAATTCGTTCGTGATACGATTTTCATTATTTAAAAGGCAATTAGTTTAACGATAGCAGATAAACTTATCTCTGTGCCCGTTGTTCGATTAAAGAAATGTTTGAAATGAGTTCATTGTAATACCATCACGTGGTGTTTTTGTTAATATTAAAAAAACTATTATATTATCATTGAACTGAATGAGAATAACGTAATAGATGATTCTTGTAGAACATAGTACTAACAAACCGTCCATCAATTATTATAAAAAAAATAAACCTCAGTTTACAGTAAATAATAATATCCCAGTATGTTACTCTCAGTAGATGAATGATACAAAGAATCTACCCCAAAACGAATATTTAAGTAAACCAAGTACAGTCACTTTAGCAAAGTAATGAGGTATACTGAATTTGTCATCCAATATTATGTTATTTAAAGTTGTTAATTGTGAAATTAATAACTCAGTATAGAGTTTAACCGTCTGTATTGGCTATTAGATTAAATAATTGAGAGTACTTACACATTGACTATCACACAGATGGCCTGAATTAAGAGACAGGTTGGTGGGAACGCCACTTAATTTATAGGCGTTTGGCATTCTAAAAAAGTCTATCACTTTAATGCATATCCATAAACCATTTGCTTATTAGAGTAACAATGGTAAATGTATTCAACAAATACAGAACACCACCTTATGTGCATACAATGTCGATCTGCACTAAGGAAGACTTACCACACATGACATTGATTACTAACCAGTAATCAAACAATTTTAAATACATTTCAGTTCTATAGGAGGTCAGTCTCAGATCGGATAGTTCATTAGTAACGTCTCTAACTGTAAACCTGGGTGACATGGGATTGAATCCTCCACGTAGCATCAGTTCCCTCAAGATTACATGTACACCTTATTGACGAGTGCCAAATGGCACAAAACCTAGGTCCGGCGTTTCCTGTCGACTACCTCCAACCATCACTTCACATATGAACGTTTCGTAAAGGTTACGCCATCAATTAGGAACGAAATATTAGTTCGAATTTATTGGAATCTTGCTTGAGTTTTAAGCCTAAAGAACTCAAATATCGCTGAACGAAAATTAATTTTACTTTGTAAGTTAAACTTTCGATGACATAAAAATGTTTTAACGTTGGTTAAGGTTGTTTGATTACATCTAATTTCACTTAATAAAATAAATCGTAACTGACTGAATTTATTCAATATGTTAAAATGATGGTGGAAATCCATCAGTGAGTTATGAAACTTCATTGTTTACTGTATGAACTGATCTAAGCTAAAAACCGCCGAGATCTAGGAAAGATTGAACAACTGTCTCATCCTATCATGTTACAATTCGATGATGCGAATTCATACTACGTAGCAGGCATACATTGGTTTACATTTCTAACTTCAATTGATTCACCATATTACTCTATCATCGTTCATTGCAACTAGTAATATTTGTCCCAGTCCCGATATGGTTGGACACTATCGTCAAAGATCTACACAAGTACTCTGACAACTAATTATAAAAGGTAGTCACTATTAAGCAACAGCTCTCTAGTGCTCTAATAAGGTTTTAAAAGACTGGTAGTTTCATTATGTACAAAGTTTAAAATGTATTCCTCTTAACCATCAATTAGAGAGATGATGCATGGCAAAAAGAAGAGCTATATTGATGAAAAGATGGTTTACGAAATAAAACAATGAAGAAGGTTTTTAGTCTACGTAATTGATTTTATTCTATGGACTGTGTAGTTTAATTCAAAATCTCCACTGTCGATCTTGAAAATGTCATCAGCGTAGTTGTATCAATCCAGTAAATTACGGGATTTTTAAATGGCAACGAAAGTTGTAGGTCCAAGGTACATCGTATCGTGCTCCATGCATAAACGACAGGTTCTGAAGTAGATGTCTAGTAGAATCATAGGTGAATACAAATGAAGTATTCTTAAACAAAACCAATGTATATCCCAGTTGTTTCGTTATTCTCATTTGTTCTTATGTTGGGGTAATTCTGTAGTAAATCTTTATAATCCAATAACAAGATATCTTTGTTTGAAAACAGCCAATATCTCATTGTCAGTGACTTTTACTGTTCATTTATCAATCACTTTAGTTGCTGAATAAATACGCTTGCCGGATGTTTTTAAATACAATCTCTTATTACCCAATATCGGCTTATAACATTTATAGTTATTACACTGACCATTTCTAATAATTCAAGATTAAACTTCATTAATCTAGTTATGAAAAATAACACAAATCGACGATACACATTTTCAATCCGAACGCTTCATTTTTACCTTACTTCATTATTTTACAAAACGTTGAACACGTCTGATTAATTCAAATTGCCATTCCTAATATTTTACAGATTTCACTTTGATGAAAGCAGAACTGTTCTAAACAAAGACGGGGATGTAACAGTTTCCGATTGATTTGATTTTCCTTAACAGTAATCATATATGAACCTAAGCACTATATCATTCCACAACCTACTATAAACTGGACATTTATCAAATAGCATCAACGATAAATATTCCAGTTAGGACAATGCTAACTCCAGAGATCACAAATTTTCCTTACATTCCAATAAATACTTCTAGAAAGTCATTACTAATCAATACTTGATTATTTTTCTAAAATATATTTACATTTTACATCCTAAACTGATATTGACCGAAGAACCAACCACTTAAACAAGACTAATTTATTTATACCAGTTTCATGTGACTTTCATCTGCTTGTTATAAAGTCCAGAGAATCAAGTTTTCTGTCTTATCATGTTTTACAAAGCAATTGATATCGGATAAATAACAAACTTATAAGCATTCTACACAATCTAATCATGTATCCAATATGTACAACCAAATCAATTTTTCCCTTAGCTAAATGTCTGTAGTCAGTCAATGTTTATGATAATCAAATGAAATACTTGTGATTGTTACAATGAATAATTTCCAAATATTCATCCTTTCAATAAGTGCAATTTATTATACAAGTATATAACTAACTGGTTGATACAATTTTCTTGTTTTTATTATTTTCGACTCCTTTTCATAATTTTATTCAAGTACAAACGTAAAGTATTTCAATAGTTGAGATCATAAATTAATTGAAGCTAGACCACCATAGAAAACCTTGAAGCACTGGACGGTCGTTTCGTCCTATTGCGGAACTCCTCATCAGTGCGCATCCATGGTTCCACATCGCGATAATCGAACAATCTGTTTAATTAAAATAAAAATTTTGTTGATTACAAACCATCAATGTTTTTCTGTATCTTTAGACTAAAGAAAGAAGAGATACACAAAGATAAAAACAACCAAAAGAGGCTGTTCAATCATCTGGAAAAGGTAATATTTTAAAATATTAATAGTTTATTACTGTTATTATGACTGTTAGTCTCTTTATAATAAAGTAGACTGATATAAGAAAATGAATTCCACTAGATATGAATGGACAACAAACATAATTTTCCACTCCCAGTACCTTCTATCTTATTGACTCTTAGGAGGATTACAAGATAACATCTTGCATGTGACCATCAATAATTGATTAGCTGTTGAATAATTAACTGGAAAAGACAAATAATTTTCAAGTAAGCTTCTCTTCAGTAAACGCTATATAATTGTATTCAAATCAAAAGGGGAGACAAGCAAGGAGCAACTTAGTAATTTGATTATATCTATTAATTCAAGCAAAACATTTGTTAATTTTGTTAACGAAGTACATACATGATGTTGTTGACTGGTTAATGTCAATTGCTGCCAATTAGATGCATTTACAATCAGCTATTGGCTGGATATATTTCATTGTAATGTTCGATGTCTTTGTAGTTAGTTGTAGATCAGTGACGGAATTAGGATTTGCTGCAAACAATAATTTTCATTTACAACCTTGTCGTATCAGTCTTGTTGTGTAGCAATAAGTACAAAGTATCAGCTTTCTTTTCCTTCATAACGAATACACATAACGAAGTAGCAGTAGCAAAATTTTATCAAGTCACAGCACTTACAACACAATATTTTACAGGCGTGTTTAACCAAACAAAATAGATGGTTGATTCAACATTGACTAGTTCGAAAACAGAAAAACTACACAATACGATTCTTAAGATTACTTATCAATGTGAAATAAAACTTTAAATTAATGAGATTTTTTCTTATCATCCACCGGTTACAAGGGTGAACATTGTTTGTCAAAGAACTATTATTTCTTAATTTGGATATTCCTTCATTGTGTTGCAAGAAAATGAATGGTATCACTCTTATCGAATACATCAGAATAAGTCCCTAAATAATAGAATTTTTGACAAATAAAGTGACAAAACAAGTAATAGTCCTTACTTACTTGATTACGTTTGTTACCCCTCATGGAGGAGCATAGGCCGTCCACCAGCATTCTCCATCCAGCTCTGTCCTGAGCAATCCTTCCCCAGCTGTT